TAATTACTATTTTACTTTATGGCATTACAACTGACAATAATAATTACAAAAACTTATTTTGATTAAGTATTTAATTGAATAATTCTGTATTAGCTTGATAAGGCCTTACGCTATATACTTGTTAAAAAGTGCTATATGCATTTTCTTATTTAATCATAAAAATWAAATWAAAATTAAAAATGTATTTATTTAATAAATGTGTGGTTTATTGTCAGATGATTTCATAGAAATTTACACGGTGATTTAAGATCGGGTTAATTATTATATTATAATGTTGTAGAAAATTATAATATATCATGACTTTTTAGTTAGATTTATTTTATTATTATATTGAGTTCGAAAAATAGGTAGGTATCTTACATATTATAAGATTAATAGTGAACATTTGTAGCTCGAATCTTTATGTCGGATAACTTGATTAATAATTTGGTTAAAATAGTTTCGACATAATTTGATATCACACGATTAAATGTTTATATTCAGATTTTGATTACACACATTTTATTTCGACAATGTTATGCTGTATTTATGAAATTTCAGAAACAGTACAACTAAAACATAATTGAAGAAAACAAACGTATATATGTCAATGGCTCACGCGAATCAAAATTGTTTTTTAGGTCAAAAGCTTAAGTTATGTTAGTGGCAGATGTGTTTGATTCGAAAAACAATAGAAACAAAATACGTGATGTGATTTTATGGTTAGGTTAGGTACATGCAACAATTTAATCATTTATAATAATGTTGTATTGCACTGCATTTGTGATACTAAAATTTAACTTCGATGGCAAATATGCATTCGTTTTCTTCAATACAATAACTGATGTTATTGTTAAAAGTAAAATKTATTTTTCTTGTTGTATAATATTCAAAAATATAACTTGAACCAAAACCAATTACTCATAATTTAATTATTCTATAAAAAAAAAAGGTTTCTTGAATAATATATTTTTAGAATCTTTCATTTAAAAATTAACAAAATTATAACAGAAGGTATTTTTTTGCGCAGAATAAAATCATTTTCTGGTTTCAACATTAAATTAATTTAAATAAATTTCGTTTGAATTAGGATTTATTTTATTTGCACATAAGTTAATATTTTTCCACTATAACCACATACAACAATGGCTTCAAATCGAATTATTAATTTATTGGAAATATTCAGTAAAAGTATTGTTCTCTCTACTAATTTAAGCAATTTGAACTAATATACCTCTATATATGTCTTAAAAATCTATCAACATTAGGTATCTACAACAGTTCTTAACTATTTTATATACAAATCCTATTAAAAACACCAACCATTGTACAGTCTTTAATTCTAATGGTTTATGATTGTGTGAATTCGATTTTCTCTGGTAGTCGCACGATTCCGAGTGCCRCGGGAATTAAATTTATTTAAAACCTTTAGACGGATTTAAATTATTTAAGCCACACTATTATTCTATACTACATCAATACATTATAGAATTATACACTTTCAATCTATTTATGTCTGCTAAACCTTTTTGCACTAAATGCATATGAACCTTTCTTTGAAATACACACGCTGCAGATCTATATATCTATTTCTACGACTTACATTCTGTGGTTTTCATGATGCACTCAAATTATGATACAACTGAATAAAAACTGTTCATCCGTCGTCAAATAACATTTTCTAGATCCTGTCAATATTTATATCGACATAATTTTGTTAATCGAGTTTTTGACCATAGTGTTTTATTTTATTTTCTATCGGTTCACAGACGGAGTGTCTCAGAGACAAATCTTCGACAAGACCATACAAGCCAATCAGTTGAACGTCGTGGAAGCCCACGGTATTCTTTTGTTCAGGACCGAAAAAGGTGCGTATGTGAATTATAATAGTGAGTGTAGGAACGATAACGTTCGACGAGTATCTCTGTCGTTTTGAAAATGCGTGGAGTTATCGGACCGGTCAAATAATGTCGTTGTCGTTTACGGTTGTTAAACTTTTGTTTTGTTTTGCGGTTACAGGACGCGACAGTAAGATATACGTGTTCAGACTGTCTGAGTTCGATGCGGACATGCAGACGGAAGTAAAAAGCAAACCGGACCTCAAAGACCATAAACTAGAACGCACGAGGGGCTGCAGTATGTACGCGATTAGTAARCCCGGAGGTTCGAGGCTCAAAATGGTAAATATCATTACTTATTGTTGTTGTAGGTACTGCGAATTTCGTTTTCACGGACAACACAACTTCTTATTCGATTTTARTTCTTGGACATAATAGTATAAATCAATATAAATGTATACATTATATTTTTATAGAATTTAAATATAATGTAAGGTGCAGTTAAAAGTGAAAAGTGAAAAAAAAAAATATTATTATTATATTATGATACCTTAATATTGTTTTATTTTCTTATTATTCTCGTAAAAATCACCCTGTACACAATACAGTATTTGTACCCATATAGTATATAGTAGGAGTGGCCAACATGAATACGTTATGAGCCACATGGATAAATACAATGATATCAAGAGCCAAAATGTTAAAAATACATTTTATAATTTTTATAATTTTATCGTTCATGATTAAAAATTGTTTTTTTTTTTTTTAAGACACGAGCCGCAAGTTGGTCACCCCTGGTATACAGGGTGTCCCGCAAGGATTTACCCATTGCGATATCTAACGAAATAATGGAGATATCAAAATTCGGGTTTTATAATAATAAGATTCACAGGGATAAGAACTACAATTATTTAATTTTTAAATTTATTTTAATGTTTGGGTAAAAAGTTAAAAAATATATTTTATTTCCAAAAAAATTAAAGATAGTCATTTTGTAGAGTTTATTTTTCTGAAAATATTGACGTTTCAA